CTCCAATTGGGGCCCGAGCTTAGAAGCAAGTGTCTTCAGCTCTGGATCCATCTCCCTCGGCTTACTCTCCAACTCCAGGAAAGGGTTCCTCACATTACTGAAGCGGGATTCTCCTACCAAAGACTTGTTTGGCACGAGCAAGTTAAAGACATAAAAAACTGTGCAGGCTTTTCTAGTGGATAAAATCAAAACACATTTTTTCAAAACTGACTAAACCAATTAAGTATTGTTTTCGTGACTGCCAGTAAATCAGTACATAATACTTAATTCGAAAAATAAAGTGTAGTAGTCGATTGTTAAAGCAGATATACGTTTGCTTCATCGACAATTCCACCAAAAAACAATATGATATTGCAAAATCACATTTGCCCTGTGACCCAAAAGGCGCTCGTGGCAGTCTAGCCGAGTGGTTAGCGTGTCAAGCACCCATCCTGCACTGTCGAGGTTCGACTCCCGCTGAGGGTGTTGATAAGACCAATGCGAGGTCGAAACTGCAGTCTAGGATGAGAACAACTTTTGGGAAAGCAAGGCTATGTGAAATTCAATGGAAACGTCAGCTCAACTCATATCACTGTGGGAAAATTCTTCTTCTACCAGTCCTTCATCACAGTAAACGAAATTGGGTGAATACATCTCATATGACTAAACCAAGATAATAAACAGAAAATAGAAAATCTGTTTCTGGGCCAAATGAGATCTCTAGGCTTTATCGAAATGCCCCTTATTATTTAATCTGAGGAACCCGGCCCCATTTCCCTCCTTCATCTCAACCCTGCTTGCTTATTCAATGTGCAGAAACAATTATTAGTCTTTCATGTAAATCGGAATCTGGTAATAAACAAGTGAGGATTTTAGAAATTTATTTTTACCTCGAGACTACTTACCGTTTAGATTTAGTTTTATATTAGAAAAGTATACTTCTCTTGTTCGATTGCGAGTACTTGCCTATATTCTTTAAACCGTCATCTCGGCCGCCTCCTCCAAACTCATTTTTACGTTAATGTGAATGATTTAACGGATAGGGCAAATAAGTTACCAATGCCTGAGCATATAGTTTGAAGGATTTGAGGCATTATTACTCGTGACTTAACCGATGGACAGTTGTATTTAAATCCCATAAATTTCCGCCGTTTATGTCGCCTTTGCGGCAGGTGAGAATGCCAGCCTAGAAAATACGCTCACCTGATAAAATAGATGATTTAGAGAAGCAAGCTGCACCAAGGAATGTTGTGCTTAAGATGGAGTTAAAACCTAGAAATATGCATTTAATGCTAGACAAATAACTTTGCTCGAACGATGCAAGAAATTACACTATCCGACGATTAGCATTAAATTAATGGTGAATTACAAAACAATTTCTTACATTTTATAAAATTTTTATCTCGAAACTCTGCTTATAAACGAAAATCACCTCAATTTCTTTCAGAAATGTGTAAACTTTAACTATGCATCGATGCTTCTTGATCTGGCTTAGCTGAAAATTTTATCGCCAGACCAGCGTAAACCCAATAGACTAACTCTGATCCGACTAAAAGAAGTTGATGCGTAATTTAAATCATTTAGTAGTATGCATCATAGTTTTAGGTAGTATAGTGCTACTTATTGATATATACGTAAAAGGTATGCCATTAGGAAACGTTAAACCCATTTTACTATTCTGTCTGTGTTTGGTGATTTCTCATCTAATGAATTTTGTTTATGCTCCCTGGCCATTTATTTAAAAAAATGAAACCACATGAGTTAATGAGAAGTGATTTGCCCATTTGACAAAAGTGAGAAATTGAAAAACCTATTATCTGCCAATTTTCCCAAGAGTCACTGGCGGAGCTTACGCATCAAATGTCTGCAGACACCCTGAGGCACTCTAAGTAATATGCACTCTTGAGTATACACCGAATTTTAGCCTCAACTTAAACTTTTAATAGATTTCCCGATCTTATCTAAATACTTGTCTTTACTCAGTCGGACCTAGCCATGGTAACCAAGAGTAGGTGTAAAAATGGAAACTTAATTTAAAAATTTTGTCTGTCAAAATGTTTCATTATAACATGTATTATAAAATATTTTTATAAATTATGATGGATTAAGATAAGACATGCGAAGGAAAGTTGGGTATCGGGGAATCTCTTGTTACACAATGGTTGAGCCTACTTTCATTTTGAGTGAATGTGTTTGGTGAAGAGATTCGAAGGTCAATCACACGAGAAGATGAAAGAGAATTTCTCTTGACCAGCTGTCGATTGGATTTACTGAAAAATGTCTGCTGTCGCTGTTTCCCAGGCAATCTTATTCAATTCATGTGAAAATGTACTAAGATTTAGTCCGTCGTATGACGGACAGCATTAGAGCAGGGGATCAGCTTTACTACTATATTCAGGCTAACGAGTCAAGAAAACTCACTGGCTCATCTCTAAATGCTATAATATATTCTATATATAGGCTCTTTGATGTGGTATTAGATGTGATTAGGTTAGTTCAAGTCAATTTCAACCTTGTATATATGCTTGTATATATGCCTGTATGCGTTGTACGAAACCAGGAGTGATGGCTCAAAGTAATTAGAACAAAAAAGTATAGTCTGTTCTCGGTCATCAAGATTTTATGATCACCATCATACTTTCTCTATTTATATTTCAACCATCACTCCGAATGCGCAAGGTCGGCCACACGTCTGGTTGTGCTGATGAAATTTTGCCTTCATGTGAGAGAGAAAGAGGGGGCTAAAAAGTACAGTTAAGTGACTGTGGTTGGGACCAAGGCAAAACAAGAAAAGCTTAGCTGAGTTGCTTCCTTTTTGCTCTGATGATGTCTTTTCAACAAACATTAAACAATAAGGTTTGCACATTTTGGGGTTTTTTATAGAGGGAATGATGCCTGGAGCCATAGACAAGCATGGATAAAGAAGTATAAAAGGGACAATATCAGTAAAGTCAAATTTACCTGAATTTGGCTGCTTGTCCCTATTCTCGTTTCTTCTGGTTCCTCGATCCGGCTTCTTGAGCCATTCGTCTCACCAATGCGCTGATTTTTCCAAACTGAGGCAGACGCTGAAAACTCTCGCAATTCCTCCTGTCCTGACAGGTGATGGCTACCAGCGATCGGAGATCTTGGTACCAAGGCTGGTGGGGAACGCTGTAACTGGTCCATTGTTGGCGTCTGATCCCGGTTTCGACTGCGATCTCGATCTTGTTCACTATCCTGCCCTCTATTATCATCTCCTATTTCAGGACCAACATGTTTAAAGGACTCCCATACCTCCTGTTGCGGCTGCAATTGGGGTCTGGCCAGCGAAAGAGGCAATGCACTTTGGTCAGGGGATCTAGCTTCTGTTTGAGTCGGGTCAACTTGTCGGTAAAAGCCATTTTGGCAAGAGGCATCCCGAGGTCGATCTTGACTGTAGACTCTGGGGTAAACCAGATCCTGGTCAGAGAACAGAGTGCTGCTATTCATTGCCGGAGTAACCGCAGAACTCGCCAAATCTTTAGATGGTTTCTCTTCCAGATTGGTCGCCTGCAAGCTCTCAAAAGTGATTACACTTTGGCCTGGTCGAGTGCCGAGGTCGAGCAGGGTTGTACAAGATGACGCTATAGGACTGCGCAACTCCTGGTAGCCGGAATCGCAGAAATCCGAGGCTAACTTGGCATCGCCACGAGGCAAACTGAATTCAATAAACATTTGGAAATCGTACTTATGGATCACTTCAAATTGTCTTTAGGATTAACTTATTGATAGCATGTTTAGTCACTACCGTACAGATAGCAGGCAATGTCATGGAAACTACTCTATCAGTAGCAATATATAATTATGTTGTCCACGAAAGTGTATAGTGCCTGATTGCCTCAAAAACAGCTCCTCC